CCAGCTGCCGGCACCTGCTTCCCTCCAGCACCCAAGACCCGGGCTGGCTTCCCTCGGGCAGCCCGCAGGCACCCAGGACCTGGGCTGACTTCCCTCTGGCCCGGCTTCATCAGGAAGAACATCCGGAATGACGTCTGGTCTAATTAGCATATTACCTTTTTATAGATTTTTAAAAAAATATATTTTATTGATTTTTTACAGAGAGGAAGGGAGAGAGATAGTCAGAAACATCAATGAGAGAGAAACATCGATCAGCCGCCTCCTGCACATCCCCCACTGGGGACGTGCCCGCAACCCAGGTACATGCCCCTGACCGGAATCGAACCTGGGACCCCCCAGTCTGCAGGCCGACGCTCTATCCACTGAGCCAAACCGGTTTCGGCTTTTTATAGATTTTTTTGAAACATTTCTAACTTTTAAAAAGTTTTTAAAAGATTAAGAGAAAGGAGAAAACACTGATCTTTAGAACAGTTTATTCTGTGATGATTTTGAATTGTGAATATATTTTAAATATTTGGCATAATGAGTGGCATTTTAGCTTCTTGTAATGCTTGGCCCCTGAGCTGTAATGTCCTATAGTATAAGTTAATGTTTTTACTTACTGCAGCACATAATAATATGTTGATATGTGCATTGTGAAATTTTTTTCCATGTACAATCAAACTATAGGTATAAAGCTCTGTATAAAACTATAGTAGCTTTGGTTACTGAATGTTAGTTCACTAACTTTGGCAGGAGTTGCCTTTCTCTGGCTACTGCTACTCCAATCTATTATTAGCTTCAGTCAAAGAGAACCTTTTAGTTTGAGTCTGAGATTCTATAAACCTTCAAATATAATTAACATTTAACTTTATGGCTCAGTGTAAAGGTATTTAAAAAAAATCTTTAAATAACTCACTTTATTATCACAAGAACCTTTGGATGTTCATTAATTCAATAATTTATTTTGACTGTTGATTTAGATACAGTTTCTCAAGATTAGGTCTGTGTTACAGCTCTTGAAGTTTTGTTGTCTTATCTTCCATTATCTTTATTCCATTTGGTTTGTGATTTTAAAAATCCCTTTACCATTTTTAAGTGGTGTGAGAATTTTGGTGTGAGAATTACTAAGTGGTCATGGTCAAATTCATTATCTTTAACTGAAAATCCTCTTATCTCTTTAAGCATTCAAGTATTTTTATCTGTATCTTACTTGCATTTAAGCTATCTTAATGTTAAACATTAGTTTTATCAATCTAAAATACTATATTAAATTACAATGTTTTTAAATTTTAAATTTGTTAGTTAAATTTTAATTTTTACCATGAATCCTAAGTTAAGGAATTTTGGTATTTTCAATTTAAATGATTACTTCCATTTAAAAAAAAATTCTTTTATTTTATTTTTTTATTATAAGTTACGGTATTACAAATGTGTCCTCCTCTCCCCCCATTAACCCCCAACCTCCCCCCCTAAAAAAAAATTCTTAACTGGATAAAACAATGTTGACTGGTATATAATCCTATTTAATTATAATCTTATGCAATCTTTATGGTTACAAAAAGCAGTGGTTGTATTTATAGATAGCTTTTTAAAATACTTCTTTTGTTTATGGTCATTGGAGTTTTATAAGAACAGAATAAATAATATAAATCATATAAATATGAAACTTGTTTTTTAAAAGTAATTTAGTAATGAGTATGATAATTTACTGTATAAATTTTACTTCAGGATTAAACAAGGGACATTTGTTGAGGGTGAAATTGCATAAAATTTTATAAAAATATAAAAATTCCTTTAAGAAAAATTGTCTTTCTGTATATTTTAAATTTCTTATTAGCCCACAGTTATGACTTTATGTTTTAAAGAATAAAAGTCAGATGGGTAAATTTGAAAAACTTTTTTTTTTAATATATATTTTTTAATGATTTAAGAGAGGAAGGGAGAGGGAAAGACAATGAGAAACATCAATGATGAGAGAGAATCATTGGTCGGTGGCTCCTACATGCCCCACACTGGGGATCAAGGCTGCAACCGGGCGTATACCCCGACCAGGAATTCAACTGTGACCTCCTGGTTCATTGGTCAATGCTCAACCACTGAGCTACTCTGGCCAGGCGAATATCTTGCTTTTTTAATTTTTAAACAATATATAGCTTGCTTTTTCTTTTAATTTTTTAAAAAAATTTCAGTTGCAGTTTACATTTAATGTTATTTCAGTTTCAGGTGTATAGCATAGTAGTTAGACAATTATATACTTTACAAAGTGTACCCCCTCCCTGATATGATATTTCCAGTACCTACCTGGCACCATACATAATTATTACAACATTATTGACTATATTTCCTGTGCTGTAATTTATATTAAACCCAGCTTTATTTCTTTTAATTGATTTTTCCTTGATATACTATTGCTACTTTAGCTAGAAGCTATTTTTCATCACAAAGCCTTATATTTTAAAATAATATTCTGTCTTTGTGTTTTTAATTGTGGTTGGTATACCTGTGACTTTTTCTATGCAAGAGCTAGCATATTTTGTTTTGCCTCTATAGCATTAAAGGATTATAGATTCTCAAAGATGATAGCTCTTTTGAAGCAGTTAATAGAAGATATGCTCTTTTCATAGCGGTATTCATTTTAAAATGTAAATATTTTCTTATTATGAAAATAACAAAGTGTTGTATGTTTTAAAGCCCATATCTTAAACATCTTTGGTTATATTATTCCTCTTTTTTTCTCTAAGTTTGAAGTTACCAGCTTGGACTGACATATAATATCCACATAGGACAAATAAAGGGATTTGTAGGTTAAACTTTTCTAAGGTTTGAAAGCTTTCTTTCATAGGTACCAGACACAAAAAGAGTAATGATAACCAAATCATTATGGAACACTTGCAGTTTGGCAACAGCAACTTCAGTATGAAGTAATCTGTGTTCTCTAAAACAGTTATGTGGACAGAGGAATATTTGCAGGACTCAACCTGCAATA